GGATGGGCTTTCCAAAACTTTCTACAAAATAAAAAAATCTCCAAGCTTCTCCACATGCAAAATGAAATACATGGTTTTTTAAACATTACTAAGAAAATAAAGGAAGGCTATATAATCTTTTTAAATGCTTTAATAGGAGAGACAATTGTTTGTCAAACATGCATACAGAGAAACCAGGCACCCTCAGAATGTGCATTTCATACAATTCTTTGATACTCACTAAATGAATATAATACCACTTCACATTTATATAGCCTTTTAAGATTTTCAATACATTTATAAATTTTATTCAGATATGTAATTAACCTTCAAGGCATATTTAGAAACAGAACTCCTAAAAAGTCTTTATTTCATTGTACTGTAACAATAAGAGCTAAATTTATTGAGCACCTACTATACACTAGGCACTGTTCCACGTTTTACTTAAATTATCACATTTAATCTTCTCAACAGCCCTACAAGGAAATTAGATTATTGGCTCCTCTTTTACATGTGGGGAAACTAAAACCTACAAAGGTTAGCTAGTCCATTGCCACCAGAAAATAGAAATTGTGGATCCAAAATTTGAACCCAAGCAGTCTGACTCTGAAATCTAACCTTCTAACCGTTACATTCTACTGCAAGTCCATAATCATATTTAACCTTTCCTTTTCCTAGGAGTCAGAACCTTCTGAATCAAATGAAATTTTATTATTGTGGATTATCTATAAACCAAAATTGTTCTTTATTACACTAGCTGCTTACATTCCTACACGCAATTAAATTTCACTCTTGTTCTACCTTACTAGGGATAAATGAGGCTCATGAGATATTTGTTTTCAGAGAGCTAGAACAGAATCATTGTGATTCCCTTATAATGCATGTGAAGGAGAGGCTGTGTATCTCACTGAGATGTCAAAGTATCCTCTGGAAAGAGTAGAAGAAGGAACTCTTCATTGTTCCAAGGAATAAAGCAATATAATTATTAAGAAGTAACATTTTGGAACAAAAATATATGTATTCTGAGAATGTAGATACGTGTTTATTTCCAATATCATGGTCCAAATTTCTATTTAAAATATCTATTTCTATCACTTAAATTATCTGAATCAGATTAAAACATTCTCTCTCTCTCTCTCTCTCTCACTCACACACACACACACACACACACACACACACACACACACAAACACACATATACAAAAAATACATCCCCTTCATTTCTCTCAATGGGATTTTGTTAGTGTTGATTTCTGTTTCTCCCAGCAGAAAACTAAGTGACATCTGCTATATCATTGCCTATGTCTTTTCAGATCAGGTAGTTTTAGGCAACGACACCATTTAGACTGATAAATTCAATTCCATAAAAAAAATTAAAAACTTCAAAAAAAACTCTGTAAATTCCAAACTACAGGGACTTTAACAGTAACCAATTCTGCTATCTCTGCCTTAATAGGGAAATTTCCATCAATTGCCTGGACTATTGCATACTACTTCTGGTCACTCTCCACTCTACCAAAATAAAACCTATTGTCTATTCATTTGTTCTTTAATTTGCTCCTTCCACAGACAGTTAAACACACACTCTGCTGAACTCTGGGGTACAAGAATAATCGAAGCATATTCCCTCCCCTATGAGTGCTCACAGTCAAGAGATGTATACACAAATAACTGTAGTCATGCCATATACTGTAATTGCTATTTATTAATATATGTGCAATGGGAGCAGAAAAGAAGAAACCCCAAATTGGCCTGCAAAAGTCAGATCAGTGTCACAATCATCCCAGAAATAACTTCCTAAATAGTCACTCTTATCTTTTAACACTTCCTATGGGACTAGCAGATCACAGGATAAATTCCAAACTTCTTAGGGTCGCATAGGAAACCTTCAAAAATTGGTTTCACTTCATTCTCACTCATATATCGGACTGCAAGACTCAGATCCTGGCCTTCCTTTCAAAATTACTTTGCCTACCAGGGCCTTAGTTTCCCCATCTGTAAAACAAGGATGATTCTAAAATCTACTTCATAGTATTGCAGAGACTCGGGTTAAAGGACTTGGGCAGTGCCTGGCACATAGTGCTCAAAGTTAGCAATTACCATTATCAATTCATTCAGCAAACATCACTTGCTGTGTCTCACATTACCGGCTCTTCAGCCACATAGTATATGTATATAAGTAGGTTACACAAGCGCCATCCTGCCTCCCTGAATTCCTTCCACAAAGCCTTCTCCAGAGTCGAGTCTCTTCCTTTCCAATGTTCTCATTGCACTTTGTACATATCTGTTCGATAATCTTATCAACGTATTATTATGGCTTGTAAGTTTGTTTCTTCCACTAGAGCAAGTAAGTAAATTCCTGCCTGGTATGTATGTGTGCGCGCCACGCATGTGGCTTGGAGGTGAGGGGAGATATTCAACCCTGGAGAATGAACCCTCTCACCCTCATCACCAAGAAAAGAAAAATCCTCATGCCAGATGTTCAACGAAAACTGTGAAGTAACAGTAATAGCTAATATTTAATGAGCCCTTACTCATTACGTGCCAGACACTGTTTCAAGCGCTTCGGATGTTTTACCTCGTTTTACAGATAAAGATACTGAGGCACTGAATTGAGAAACTTGCACAAAGTGAAATAGCTGACAAATGGTGGGGCCTGCATTCCAACCCAAGGATTGGACTCCAGATTCAAGGCTCTACAACACAATCGGAAGTGGAACAGCCCCTCTTCTTTCCCTAATGACCGGCTCCCCTGCCTAGACCCCAAACTGTCCAAAGTAGGAAAAGGCAGAGGGTGGGCATCAAGAGGAGAAAACATCACCCAGAGTCCCCTAAAAACAGCTTTTTCCAACAAAGAGCATCTTCCAAGCACACTCCCAAAAGAAAGCCAAAAGCTCCCGGATCCGCGGAGGGGTTCCAGTGAAGATCCCTGCTGCCTTAGAGGGGCGTGCCCAGCATCCATGAGAGACTTTCCGCTCCCCCAATATCGATACCTACTGGCCCACGGAAGGAACAGGAAATAATGAGTGCACCCCACTTCCTCACAACTTCCTCCCACCTGAATCTTTCCAGTACCAGATATGCAGCATCCAACTTTCAAAGTTTCCCCCACACTTTACCCAGTTCCCCGCGGAAAGCGCCGCAGAACAACAATCGAAGCGCTGGTTGGGTCGTCGCCCTGGCTGTTCTATCCAATCAGAGGCAGATAGAGGCCCAGATTGGCCCCGCTGCTTCCTGGGAATTGTAGTTAAATTAACACTCCATATCATAATTTTATAATTATAATGGAATCCGAATCGGTTTCTCAATATAGTGATTATCAAAATCCAGTAGAGGAATATCACCAAGGAGAGTGTGAAGAAAGGGAAAACCTTGCTTGGAATTTTTTCTTTTCTTTCTTGTATCACTACATTTTAAAATATTTTAATGGACCAGAACGGCATGTTGGGTTTTCTGAGGAATGGATGACAATCCACCCATCGTAGAAGAGTTTTTGGAAGAGAGCTTTTTATTTAATTTGCTTTTTCGCCACCCTGTGGTGGTAGTTTGAGAAATGCTGAATGAAACTACTCAACTTAAAACACGCATATTGAGGAAACCTGAGAGTCCGTAGTTGTAGAACATGAGGGAGAACAAACAGGTTTGGTGTAAAAGTCGCTCTGATGAGGAAACCTAGTAAACTGTTACTTTAAGATTCGGTTTCAGATTACATTTGCGAAAAGCCTTTGCTCATTCTTTGTTCTCATTTTCCTTGTGCATACCTCCATCTTTTAATTTAGTTCATTGTATTATTGGTCAGCACCCCTCACTTGAAGAGAGAAACCGCCATGTTATTCAACTTCTAAAATAGGGCCTAGCACACTGTTCAATTAACAGTTGTCGGGGAAAGAACAAATAAATGAATGGAGAGAAGCAGAAGAATGTGGGAATTCAGACAGTAAAGTTCTGGGATTACAAGAGAGCCCAAGCAGACAGAATAATAATGTGGGAGGGCCCAGGTCTCCTAGCTCCTGGTATCCGCGGCGCCTGGCAAAGCACTGTCACTGGCTGGCGCTCAGTAAATGTTGACTTCAAACGCTAGGGAAAAGAGAGAGCAAAACAAATAAAAAATAAAAAAAAAAACAAGGAGCATAGCTATTCCTGCCACCTGCTCGCCCCAATGAAGAACTGAAGGTGTCGAGAGGAAGGGCTGTCATGATTGATAGAGGTAGTCCGCAGCCAGGTAGCTGAATTACTCTCTTCGAGCTTTCCCTAGTCTGGCGAGGTGGCGTCACGTGACTCAAACAAATATGGCACTTTATTTTCATCTTGCCACCGTTGAACCAATAGGAGTGGCGCTCTCCGTCGTCACTACCACCCCACCACCACCACCGTCTGGAGTGAGATCTGTCACCTGACTCGGCTCAAATATGGCTGCGCTGGAAGCTCTATTGCTTGGGACGCCGGGAGCAGGTCAGTGTAAGGCGCCCCAGAGAAGGCGGGGGCGCTGTCCACGACCCCTGCAGGGAGCGTCCCTGCGCCCCACCCTCTCACCGCTCTCCAGTTCTGACACAGACTCGTCTCCTGATCCTCAGTCCTCTGCTTTAACAGAGGGCTCAAAGTAGGGAGGTTCCTGCTGAATTTCTCATCCTTGAGAAGGCGACCACCTGGGGATTTGAAGTAGCACTGGACATAAAGTTCAGAAGGGAATGCGGAAGTGGAGTTACGGGCCTGCGCCCCGGTCTAATACGACGATTTATATTAAATACAGGATCCGCGTAGAGAGATGGGATCCACGCCTTGGAGAAAGTGGCAGTTCTCAGAAAGAGACAGTAACGTGTCAAATTAAACTTAAAACTATAATTAGGAAAGTAAGTCCCGCCTTTCCCAGCTGGGCCAGTTGTTGCTGGTTTGTAGAAATAGAGTTCCTTCCGTTTCTTCTTACTCTCGTATGTGTTGTTTCTAGGAGTTACTCCAAGAATGAGAAAATTGAGAATGTGTTCGGCATAACTCATCTCTTTTTATCTCCCTGCACTTTGTGCTGGGAAAATGAATCATCCATTTGGAAAAGAGGAAGATGCTTCCCAGAAGCAGCTTTTCGGATTTTTCTGTGAGTGCCTCCGGAGAGGAGAATGGGAGCTGGCACAGGCATGTGTACCTCAGCTGCACGAGGCACAAGGGGATATCCCAAAGAGGGTGGAAGACATACTTCAGGCACTGGTGATGTGTCCAGATCTGCTGAGGTAAGGGATCCGGGCAGTCGCAGGGCGGAAGATACATGGTTCAATATTCGGACTCTGGTCACTATGAAGAATTAGCAGAGGCAGAGTGTATGTCGCATGCTCGGAAAATTTACCTCTATAATATATACTCATTTCTTGGTCAATATTGGCTTTAGATTATCATCGGCAACTGGATTTAAGCCTGGCCACCAAAGTACACCTGAACCCACTAATTTTTGTTTATCATCATTAATGTAGATGGTGGAACTGCATTGAAATGTATTTTCTTTTCCCCTAATGAAGCAAACCTCTCTTCTTTTTTATGAGATTGAAGATGTTGTAGCAAAGGACTGAAAGTACTCAAAACTTTTTATTTTGAAATAATTATAGACACACACAGAAGTTGCAAAAATAAGAGTCCAGTGTATCCTTCTCCCAGCTTCCCCCAATTGTGACATCTCATATAGCTGTAGTACAATATCAAAATCAGGAAATTGATGTTGGTACATTACTGTTAACAACATTATATACCTTTTTTGGTTTTCACCATTTTTTAATCTGCATTTGTGCATTTGTAGTTCTGTGCAATTGTACCCATTCATGTAATCCCACCATAATAAGGATGCAGAACTATTCCATCACCACAAAAGAACTCCCTCACACCTTGGTGCTACTTCTTTGTATTTACACTATGACCCCTCCTTGTCCTCTGGCAGTGACAGTTCTTTTAATGAAGTTCTTCCTGGCACTGCTATTAACAACCAGTGGTATGGGAGTCATATATATTGTTTTAGTCTTTCCCTGGCTCTTCCTTACTTTGACTTTTATGTTACACTATTTAAGTATTGTATTAGCACATATAGAATGGAGAAACTTAAGTGATTCTTTCCTTCCTTTATTTTTTCCCTTAAATTTGAGTACTAGCCAGTTATTGTCTAAATTCCTAACTTCAAAGAAAGGTTTATGAATTCCTATAACCCTGTTTTTAGCATATAGTTAAAAATAAATGTTTATGAAGTTCCTTTTTTCTTTAAGGCGATTTGACTCGGTTTCCATGTTCAAGATTATACTTTAGATAGCATTAACTATTATGGTTTTCTCTGTATTTTTATTTTGTTTAAAAATAAGACTAGACAGGGAAGTGGTGGTGGGATTGAGATTATTTTTTATGAAAGCTGCTAGCTCTGTTCTGGTTCTAGTGTTTTATTGAACTGTGGTATACATTTGAAAATATCTCATTAAGAAAATATCTTGCCTGTTGAGGTTTAAAACAATGTGCAGTGAAATCTAAATATTGGATCACAAAATAGAAAAGGTCAGTAGAAACTCTTTTTTACAAAGATTTTCTTTTCATCTTTTTCAGATGTGGGCAGGACATCAATCCTCAAAGATTAGCCTGGGTATGGCTTCTTGTACTGGAAAAATGGTTGGCCCGGGAAAAGGTAAGTAGGTTTACATTTAAATTTCTCTCTGAGGCCAGGACTGAGAAGAACTGGAAGCAGTTATGGGGTTTCCCTTCTGTTACTTCCTTTATTATGAAGTTTGTCATACTATGTATCAGTATTTTTAATTTTTTTTCTTGAGACAGAGTCTTGCTCTGTTGCCTGGGCTAGAGTGCAGTGGCTATAGGCTAGTTCACAGCAACCTCAAACTCCTGGGCTCAAGCAATCCTTCTGCTTCAGCCTCCCGAGTAGCTGGGACTACAGGCATGCACCACCATGCCCGGCTAATTTTTTCTATATATTTTCAGTTGTCCAGCTAATTTCTTTCTATTTTTAGTAGAGACGGGGGTCTCACTCTTGCTCAGGCTGGTCTTGAACTCCTGACCTTGAGCGATCCTCCTGCCTCGGCCTCCCAGAGTGCTAGGATTATAGGCGTCAGCCACCACACCCAGCCTCTTTCTCAGGATCAGCAGTGAGAATGGCTTAAATTTTTATTGCTGTCTCTTTATGTAAATTCACTCATTAATTCACTAACATACGTTGACATGTAATACTATTCGAGGTGATGCCATTTTGTTAAATATGACTATGAGTCATGTACCTGAAGACAACTTTGCGTTACTCAGTGAGAGTGACAAGAGAGCAAATAAAATATGAACCCGTAACATTTGGATCTACTCAGCACTCAAATAATAGAGAGTACACTGAGCTGAAACTTGGTTTTTCTTCCAAAAATCTTATTTTAACTAGTCCAATACAGTGAAATCATATAATTTCAAGCCCCATTAATTCACATGAATTGAATTAAAAGTTACCAAATATAAAAACATAGCAAGCAAGTTAATAGTGAAAGAAAACTATTAAGGAAGTCCTTTTTTTTAAAGGAAAATTTCCATTTACAGCCCTTCTAGAAAGTATGTATTAATTATCAGAAATTGATATGCACTAAAGGAATTTCTCTGAGGCAATTTCATACTGAACCTCAGACTTTAAGATTTACGTGAGGAACCTCTGACTGAGAAGAGAAATGACTGGCCCAAGGACACACAGTGAAGTTAGCTGGCAGAACTGAAACCAAGATCTTTTGACTCCTAGTCCTGTGCTTTTTCTACCTCAACATTAATTTTTACCCCATAGTGACTTAAAAGTAAAAAAACCAGAAATTCTATTTTTTAAATGTCTATATATTAATTTTTCTTATTATTTTTTTGTTCCACTAGGTCATCAGAATTAATTTTGTCCTCAGTTCCATTTTTGCATGACATTTATCTTCCTTCCCATAACTGTCAAAAAGTAACAGAAATTTCTTATCTAAATGTATCTCTTATCCAGGATTTAGCCAATTGTCTAGCAGTGAAAAATGACAAAAAGACTAGCAGGAGGGGGAAGAAAGAGAAGCAAGGTTGAAAAATAAGGAAACCCAGGATAATCAAGAGTTACCTATGGTTTCAGATTTAAAAGAAAAAACCTGAGCTAAAATAGTATTAATAATACCATAGTTAAAATAGTATCTTCGAAGAGAAAAAGAAAAGAACTGTTGTTACTGATTAAGGATCTCTCTATTATAAACATGGAATTTGTCAAACCCAATGAACTTTCCCCTCAGCTTACTTCATGCCTGTTGGTTGTTTATTTTCTAGACAGTTACTCAACCATGTCAGGTGGTAGATTCACTTCCCTGGCTCTTTAGCACAGACTAAGAGTTGTTCTTGTTTTTCCCAGCTTCACGGTTCATTTAGTCTTTAAAGCTCCAGTGACTTACTTATTTAAAAAGTTGTGGGAATATTTTAGTTCCTCAGAGAATTTTTTTTTTTTTTTTTTTTGAGACAGAGTCTCACTCTGTTGCCCTGGCTAGAGTGAGTGCCGTGGCGTCAGCCTAGCTCACAGCAACCTCAAATTCCTGGGCTCAAGTGATCCTACTGCCTCAGCCTCCCGAGTAGCTGGGATTACAGGCATGTGCCACCACGCCCCGGCTAATTTTTTCTATATATTTTTAGTTATCCGATTAGTTTCTCTCTATTTTTAGTAGAGACAGGGTCTCGCTCTTGCTCAGGCTGGTCTCGAACTCCTGAGTTCGCCCAGGAGCCGCCCGCCTCGGCCTCCCAGAGTGCTAGGATTACAGGCGTGAGCCACCGCGCCCGGCCCTCAGAGAATTTTAAAACTTTAAATAAGGACCAAGGCTGCAAATGCACTCTTGGAGTAGTTTTACAAGGTCAGTCATTATCCTGGAGGTGCGTTCATTTTCCAGGGATTTGCTGGCTGCCTTTTGCAGCCTTTCATCTTCTGCCAAAAGCTTCTTTTTTAACTCTTAGGTGACACAGTGATTCTATTTCCTTCATTCACTTTTTCCTTTTGCCTCTTTATCTTGCAGTGATTTCTCTCTACATGTACAAGTGTGTGTACAAAGATTTAGATGTTCACTTTTATGCTGCTTCTATTAGAGGGAAACTGGAAACAACTCCCATGTCCACAATACAGGGCTCGTTAATAAATGGAAGTATATCTGTATGTAAAATACTATGCCACTATTCAAAATCATGTAGTAAATGAATTTTCAGTGATGTGAAAGGATGCTCATGCTCTGCTCTGTGGGAAAAAAGCAGTTTAGAAAAAATGTACATTTGGTATATGTGCATAAAGATGTGTATAGAAGATCATCTGAATGCCCTTAAACAGTATTAATGATAGTTCTCCTTTGGTAAGAAGATGTGATGTGAGATAAATATATATACATATGTGTATATATATATATTAAATATATATATATATTTTAGTTTGCTCATTTGTATATCCTAATTTTTCTACATTGAACGTGGCTTGCTTTTATGGTAAGAAAACCTGTGCTTACAGAAAGACAAATCTCACATGTTCTCACTCATATGTGGGAGCTAAATATTAAAAACAATTGATCTCATGGAGACAGAGTAACCAGAGTCTGGGAGGGGTAGCAGGGACAGGGGGATAAAAAGGGGATGGTTAGTGGATGCAAAAATATAGTTAGATAGTTAGACAGAATGAACAATATTTGATAGCACAACAAAGTGTCTCATATAATCAATAATAAGTTAGGGTATACTTTAAAATAACTAGAAGAGTGGAATTGGAAGGTTCCTAACACAAAGAAATGATGAATGTCTGAGATGACAGATATCCCGATTACCCTGATTTGATTAATTCACATTGTATGTCTGTATCAAAACATCACATGTACCCTATAAAGATATACAATTATTATGTACCCATAATAATTAAAATTTTTTATTTTTAAAAATTAATTTTTTTTAAAAAAAGAAAAATTTATGATTAGAAACATTGAGCAAATTCTTGCCTGTGTTAAGAATGTTAGTTATTTGTACCCCTGCATATGCTTAAAGTAATTTCACTGGTAAAATAAGTATAAGCTAATCAGTCTTTGGGATTCTAGATGAAGTCATAAATTCTTAACCAGCTTACTGTCTTAGACATCTTTCTTCTTAGTCCTCAATAGAAACACTGATTTTCGGCTTTCCAACATGAATTTTCTCCACCAGCTTCCAATCATAGACATTATACAAGCATTCACATGGCATTGGTGCAGATATTAGGGAAGGACGTGGCAAGAATAAATGAGATTTTGGGCCAAGAGTTATTAGCTCATATTTAGCCTCTGATGTGATGAATGGTACATGAATCGAGGTAGTATAATCTTGTGTTCTAAACCCTCCTCTCTCTCTCTCTCTCTCTCTCTCTCTCTCTCTCTCTCTCTCTCTGCCTCTCTCTCTCTCTCTCTCACACATAAACACACGCACACGCACACACACGCTCACACACAATCCTGCAGTTGCTTCTTGCTTTCTAATAAAACTCATCCTTGGGAAGCTTTAACCAGAGGCCTGATTTACAAATGTCTCTAATTTGAAGTGGTATTTGTCAGGATTAGTCTTATTTTTATTTGTCTGGAGGAAGGGAGACTCTAATTTGAGTTTTAAGGACCAGATGAAGAAAAGTTACTGTGAAACAAGCAGGTGCAGGAAGAGTCAGAGGCTTTCTATTTATACATTAGACCTCTCTGATGGCATGTCTCATTAACAAACATTGGGATCACGTTTTCCTTTTTGTTTGCAATAATTAGAAAATGCTTCCTAACCATTTCACCTCTTGTAAAGATTCTTTTTGAAAATATATAACTATGTACCACAAGTTTGTTTGATTTGGAAATTAAATGAGATAAAAAATAAAATACAGCACACAGTACCTGGTATATAATAAGTGTTTGCTATACATTAGATCCCTACCCCCTTACTTTGCTTCTCCCACTGATATGCAAAGGACAGTGAATATCGAAAACAAGGGTTTGGACCAAAAGAGGATCACATGGGCCATACTCTCCCAGGCTTGCCCATAACTGGGTGTTTTGGACACAGCAAGGAAGATTCTTGGGAAAAGACCGCCAGTGACCAAAAAAGAAGGTCACAGGAAATGAACAAACTTTGGAATTTGAAGCTGATGAGTGTGGGCTTTAAGTATTAGTTTTTAAGAGGGGTGTATGTCCAAGTTTAGCTGTTTTTTGTTTATAAAGAAAAGTATCTGAAAACATCCAGGAATTTAGGGTTAAACGTACATTACCCTAGAGAAACAGCAGAAATAAAACTAACTGGAGAGAAATATTTACTTATAATTTTTTAATTAAAGCATATACCTAATTTCTATCATTCCTTCTTACAATTCTTTTAGAAGTTACTCCCAGCTGCTTTCCGGAGAAAGCTTGAGTTTCTTTTATTGTCAGAAGACCTTCCTGGTGACATTCCAGAGAACATCCTCAAGGTGAGAGAGGCCCTGGGGCCGTCTGCCCGGGATTGCAGTTAACTCAGCAAGCTCAGCTTCCAGGGACCCAGCAGAAACAGGTCTCCAAGATGCTGGCTATACTTTGTGCTCAGGCAAGGCAAGGTAGAGGCTCCTCTGAGAAGAGTTTAGAGTTAGGGTAAACATCTGATTTTAGAATTCTTGGGTTGGGTTGTTCAGAAGTACTAAGTATAGCTGGGGATTAAAGATGTTTTTTCATTTCAGGTAGAAGGAATATATAACTTAGATTTAAACTAAGGTGTTTGAGTATTTTACCAGTAGATGGTACGAATATAAAGGGAAAAAGGAACTAATATTTGTTGACTATCTTTTCTATAACAGGTACACTGAATATGTTAGAGTTAATCCTCACAATAACCTTCTGGGGGCAGATTCAAACTAATTCTTTTTTTTTTTTTTTGAGACAGAGTCTTACTCTTTTGCCCGGGCTAGAGTGAGTGCCGTAGTGTCAGCCTAGCTCACAGCAACCTCAAACTCCTGGGCTCAAGCGATCCTCCTGCCTCAGGCTTCCGAGTAGCTGGGACTACAGGCATGCACCACCATGCCCGGCTAATTTTTTCTATATAGTTTTAGCTTTCCGATTAATTTCTTTGTATTTTTAGTAGAGACGGGGTCTCATTCTCGCTCTTGCTCAGGCTGGTTTGGAACTCCTGAGCTCAAACAATCGGCCCGCCTCGGCCTCCCAGAGTGCTAGGATTACAGGCGTGAGCCACTGCGTCCAGCCTCAAACTAATTCTTAACTATATGTATATTGCATATATCAGTTACTACTGAAGTGCCTGAGTTATGCTCTGAGGCTCGATACTTATTTTCTTAATGACCCTGACACCAGTTAACTAGAGATGTATTTACAGTGGGATTTAAGTCACTTGTATTAGGTCGTGGACTCATGGTCTTGAGATCCATCTCTGAGGCAGTTAATGAAGAGGCATCCCTGAGCACCATCTATAGGCATGGTGTTTAACGGTGGGAAATAACCTACTTCCTCACCCCATTTCCTCCCTCCACCCTTACCCCGCTAACAGAAGATAGGCTATAGAGGTTCTTGCTTTTAAGGGATTAGGGAGGAAGGACTAATATATACATAATACATTTACGTACTAAACCATATGGTACTAATTTTAAGTACCTTAAAGTTGTGTGGGTTGGAGGTATTGGGAAGGGTTTTCTGGAAGGATAAGGAATAGACTATACCTTAAAGCATGGCTAAGATTTAGATCAGGGTCTAAAAACTGATGTGTAATGTTCTTTTTTCCTTTTTTTTTTTGAGACAGAGTCTTGCTCTGTCACCCTGGATAGAGTGCACTGGTGTCATCATAACTCACTGCAACCTCAAACTCCTGGGGTCAAGTGATCCTCTTGCCTCAGCCACCTGAGTAGCTGTGACTACAGGCGCATGCCACCATACCTGGCTAATTTTTTCTATTTTTAGTAGAGACAGGGTCTTGCTCTTGCTCTGGCTGATCTTGAACTTCTGGCCTCAAGCGATTCTCCCACCTCAGCCTCCCAGGGTGCTAGGATTACAGGCATGAGCCACTGCACCTGGCCCTGATGTGTAATGTTCCTTTAAAAATTGAATTTAAATGCCTTTAGAGGGGTATAATGTCTTACCCACCTGGTCTATGAGTTTGCAGTGCTTGATTTAGATCACCAGCACACATTTTAGAGGCAGTGGGGTGGTACTAGCTTGATCGTGGAGACATTGAGCAATTGAGTTAATCTTCCTTAGCCTTAATCTCCTCATTTGTAAAATGGAGATAATAGTGTCTTCCTCTTAAGGTTGTTGTAAGGATTAATTTGATTTGTCTGTGTAAAGAGCCTAGAACAGTGTCTGGCATATAGTAACTGCTACAGAAGTGTTTGCTACTTCTACTATTTTATATATGTATAGGCTGAAAAAGAGGAAAGCATCAAAGCATACAAATGGTAACATTCTAGACATGCCTAGCACCTATCCCTCTCTTCATCCTCTATTTAGGAGCTATATGAGACCCTAGCACAAGGCGCAGTCGGTCCTGTGCCTGACGGAAATCAGAGAAGGGAGAGCTGGACTCCACGACTCAGTTCTGAAGCTATCTCTGTGCTCTGGGATCTTCTGAGGCAGGCTCCCCAGCCAGCGCAGGCTCTGCTGGAGCTCCTGCTTGGGGAGGATGACGGTACTGGTCTCTGTCACCAGCCTCTGCAGAATGCACTGGTGGACCTGATTCGAAAGGCACTGCAAACTTTGCAGGGCCCTGACTCAGGGCCCCCTGGGGTAGTCAATGCCATCTACGGAGCCCTGCGGACCTTGCATTGCCCTGCAGAACCGCTTGGAATTGAGTTGCGTCTCTTGTGTGAGGAACTCCTGGAGGCCTGCAGGACTGAAGGGAGTCCCCTGCGGGAGGAGCAGGTGCTTGGCTGTCTGCTGCACAAGGCCGGGCGGGGCCTGGTGTCCCTGTATGGCCATACCTATGCAGAGAAGGTCACAGAAAAGCTACCGAGGGCCACAGCCTCAGGAAAAGGTGTGTTCTCTTTGCTGCTTTTCCTTGTGTTTTGTTAAATCCAACATGCCCGGCCTCTCTGAAGTCGTCTAGACTGGTGCCTTCCATGTTGCTCAGGACATCTAACAGGAGAGGCTAAGCAAAAATGGGTAGGATGTTCTTTGGTAAAAGTACAGATTTTCTAGGGTAAGACAGAAATGATGGGGGAAAAATAAAGTAATAGCAATAGCAGGAAAGAGCTTTTCAGAAGCAACTGAGAGAAATAAAGACTCTTTAAGATAAACTATGGAAAACCTAGCTTAAGAGTACAAACTCTCACATCAGTTGGTTTTTCAAATGGGCTCTATCTTAGAATAGAAGAGATCTTGGTTTCCCAATAACCCTGTCTGGTTTGATGTTCAGTCTCACCAGATCATCTAGATCCTGAGCGGGCAATGCTAGCCCTCTTCTCCAATCCTGACCCAGCCCAGGCTTGGAAAGTGGCCTATTTCTACTGCCTGAGCAACAGCAAGCACTTCCTTGAGCAGATCCTGGTAAGTCAAGCTTAATTATTCTCCATCACAGAAGGACCCAGGGATTCTCCCCAGGCTTTTTCATTCCTCCTTTCTCTCCCACTCGTTTATCCAACACAAAGCAGTCTAATTAGTGCTGAGTCATTTGGTTCTGTCCATCCCACAGTCCCAGAGGGAAGGAGGCTCTGAGAATCAGTATCATTCATACTTATAGTTGCAGTCATTTTATTTTGGTCTTTTGGCAGAAACTAAAATGCTGGGGTTGTGTACACTTTCTGGAGGGTATGAGAAGGAAAAAACAGTGACAACAATAAGTTGCCTAGCTGACAAGAGAATTTAGTTACTCTAAACTTTTCTTTCCAGATTGCGACTGAGCTTCAGCTTAATTCCACAGATATTTATTAATATTATCCTGTGTGCCAAATACTGTGCTAGGAGCTGGGGTTACAAGATAATTCAGTCCCTGCCTTCAAGGAACTTGCAGTCTAGTGTTTTCATAAACACCTGGCTAATTTTTCTATATTTTGTAGAGACAGGGTTAGCCCGGGCTAACTTCTTTTCTTAATAAGCAGTAAGCTAGAATGCATTCTTTCTAGTCCACACAGCTACCTATAGCAGCCTTTTTTGGTTTACAGGTAACAGCACTAACGTTGTTGAAAGAGGAAGACTTCCCAAGTCTCAGCTGCCTGCTGGATAGAGAATTCAGGCCTCTTAGTCGCCTGCTTGTGCTCCTGGGCTGGACACACTGCCAGAGCCTAGAGTCAGCCAAGAGGCTGCTCCAGACACTGCACAGGACCCAGGTAATCTCACTCTGCACCCCGGGCTGCTCTGGAAGTGACTGCCATGAGGCTTTGGGCTTGTATAGAATGCAGGGTCCTGAAGTAGATCATAATCTCTGAGGTGCCTGAGTTAGCATCTCTTTCTTCTCCCATATCAACATAGGACCAAGGCTGTGATGAGTTCCTCAGGGATGCCTGTGATGGGTTGTGGGCTCACCTGGAGGTCCTGGAGTGGTGTGTTCAGCAGAGCAGGTATGGCCCTGTGTAGTCAGCCCCCTTCCCACCATTCGGCACACTTGACCCTGTACTCCGCGTGGCCATTTCAAGACGTCTTCCATATAAATGTTTTGGGTTGAAATGTTGACCTGCCACTAATAACTGTTCCAACTATTAAAAAGTAAGGAAACATAAGTAATGATTATCTTCATCAGTTATGACCATCAAGTCATAACTAGAGAGGGTAGTTTTAGGATGACAATAATAAAAATGACAATAGCTCTCATTTCCTGAGCACTTAACATATGCCAGGCGTTGCTCTAAGCTCTTTATGTGGATGATTTCACTTAAGCTGTGAGGTAGATAATCCTGTGAGGTAGATACCGCTATTATCCTCATTTTAAAGATAGGCCAACTAAAGTCCAGAGGTGGTAAATAACTTACCCAAGGTCACACACAACTAGTAAATGTCATCCACATTCTTAGTTACATGTTATCCTGTACCACATTTTTATTCAACGAATTCTTATTGAACTGCGTGTGTATGAGGCCCTGCATTTCCCTGGTAACTTAGCCTAGATCTGGATTCCTATCTTGTCCCTCACCCACCTCAACAGCACTTCCTGAAGTAGAGTGGGCAGAGGAGGAAGTAGTGAGGAGCCCTTACTCCAAATACAGCCAGGGAAGCTTGTGTCAGTTTGAAGCTAGAAAGAGTGTAGAAGTTGGGAAATTCAACCTACAGGTCCCTTCTAGACCCTTCTAGGTCCTCTCTAGACTAGTAGAGCTGGTTAGATACATGTACATCCCTGAGGGTAAATAAATGTTATTCTCTGTCCCAGAACAACTGAAATTTAAAGTTTAAGGAAGTGAAACCTGTGGTGTTGTAGGCAGGAGAGGAAGAACAAGAGGGAGTGGAGATTGGTCTTTCTTCAGGGCAAAAGTACAAACTGCCTCCCTTTCATCCTCTCAACTTTCCCTTTCAGCAACCCCATACCAAAGAGAGATCTCTTGTGTCATTTACATGGTGGAGACAGCCACTCAGTACTCTACACTCTCCATCACCTTACGAACCTTCCAGCCCTCAGGGAGGAAGATGTTGTCAAGCTCTTACAGAAGATGCCAGCCAAGGACCTACGGCAAGAACGTGGTGAGTTGGTAATGGAATAACTTGACCAGAATTCCCTCTTAGGACAATCTTGCACATATTTATTCCCAGTTTTTGTACAAATTCTTGGCGAGTCACTTCATGCTTCCTAAGTTTTCCCAGAACACATTTTGTGCCTTCCTTCCCTCCTATATCTGCTTCATATGCCATGGAACAGATCAAGAGGTTTAGAAGAAAGATTTGCTTGAAACAATAACAAAGCCTTGTTTTAGCCTTAGATCTTTGCTTAAATTCAAGACTCCATTAGGAAGCTCTTTCTTTTGTTTTTAATCTCATTTTTACTTGACAATTAATAATTGTGTATATTTATGGGATACAATGTGATATTTTGATACGTGTATACATTATGGAAGAAGCTCTTTCTTTTTGCTCTCAAAAATCGTATCACTGTATATTCACAACCTGCCACACAGGCCAGGGACACTTACCTTTGAGAGACACAAATTTTCTCATATGGCAGTAGAGATTTCCCAGCCTAGATGTGGCTTTGATTGATTTTTCAAAAGGACCTACTATTAGTACTAATTGGAAAACCAGTGTTATTATTCCATATTTGTTCCTGGAAAGATAGGCAGCTTATTTAGTAGATTTCCTAAAGGAACTAGAACTCTGGCTTCTACATACAAATATAAAGGCCTAAAGAAGTACAGTATTTTAAATCTATTAATAATCCCAGCAACCCACTGGGACACACTTGGAACTTGAACTTGGAAAAGGCAAAAGAGGGACAATAATAGGGCCAGGACTACAGTAACGCAAGAGAGGCATTAAAGGTGCAAAATTTAAGACAGCACTCACTCTCAGGTGCTTGCAAGTCCTGGCCCTGGGCAATAATGCCACATAGCAGTCATGGGCTACATAGAAGGAAGGTCAGTGGGGAAAAGGAAATGGAGGGGAGTGAAAGTCGATACTGACTAGAGGGAAAGGGCTGGAAGGGACACAGATCAGACTGACAGAAAGAAGAGAAGGTAAGAACCTGGAAGCACGGGACTGGCATGGTGGCTCATGCCTGTAATCCTAGCACTCTGGGTGGCCAAGGTGGGAGGATTGCTTGAGGTCAGGAGTTCAAGGCCAGCCTGAGCAACTGTGAGACCCTGTCTCTACAAAAAATAGAAAAATTAGCCAGGCATGGTACACACCTGTAGTCTCAGCTACTCAGGAGGCTGAGGCAGGAGGATCACTTGAGCCCAGGAGTTTGAGGTTGCAGTGAGCTACGATCAGGCCACTGCACTCCACCCAGGGTGACAGACCAAGACTTCGTCTCAAAAAAAAAAAAAAGAACCTACAAGCATGGCATCTCTCTGCTTCAGACATACTTGCAGCCCATGCCTAAAAGAATTAACTCTCAATTTCTTCTCGTTGCTCTCTCTAATTCAGATTCAGTTGATGCCCCAGTCCCTGAGCACCTGAGCCAGTGTCAGAACCTGACACTCTACCAGGGCTTCTGTGCCATGAAGTATGCCATCTATGCCCTCTGCGTGAACTCACACCAGCACTCCCAGTGCCATGACTGCAAACACGGCCCCTCTGAGGACCTGGCCTCAGCTGCAGAGCAAGCGGATGACTCTCCCTCCTCCCCAGGTACAGTGTTTCCCCCCATCCCTGGCATAAGCTGGTAACAACTTATCACAGTGAATGCTTTTTGTGGTTACCCTCTTTCACCAAGATTGGGGAGGGTAGTGGCCTTGATTTTATGGTGTCCAGGAATAATTTCATCCATTTATCAGATCAAGGGACATAGAGAAAGCAAATGACTGCCTAAATTGTAATGGATTCTGATCTTCTAGTGCAGTGTTTTTCAAACTCTTTTTTCTTTAACTATAATCCACATGCCACTCCAATTTGCACCTAGTATATAGTTTGTGTGTTTGCATATGTGTGTGCGTGTGTATATATATATATATAAAATGAAACCAAGTTTTAAGAAATGATACTTAACTCTTCCAAATGGAGCACGGTCTTGATTATTTTTCTGTTCTATTTCACTTTTTTAAATGCAGCCCTCTAAATCAATTTCATGGGTCACGGCCTATAGTATGAAAAATACCAACCTAATGTCCTACCCTCTCTCATTTTTCTTAATAACTTATAATTCCTTAACTTGCCTTCTGTGACTAATTATCACTCTCTCCTAGCTTTGGAATAGACCTTCACCTGTGAGCATGGTCATTTTTTGGCTATTGAGTATTTCTTAAGAGATCTAGGTAGGCTGTGGTCACCTTTGGTGTAAGAATAAGTGAAAACAGAATTGAAAAGTAAAGAATCTGCTTCTGCACTGTCTTCATTCCTGGAACTGAAATATGGAGTACTTGTCAGGAATGAGGAATAATGTAATATTAAAAAGACAGAAATGGGCTGGGCATGGTGGCTCATGCCTGTAATCCTAGCACTCTGAGAGGCTGAGGCGGGTGGATCGCTCAAGGTCAGGAGTTCGAGACCCGTCTCTACTAAAAAATAGAAAGAAATGATCTGGACAACTAAAAATATATACATGAAAATTAGCCAGGCATGGTGGTGCATGCCTGTAGTCCCAGCTACTCGGGAGGCTGAGGCAGAAGGATCGCTTGAACCCAGGAGTTTGAGGTTGCTGTGAGCTAGGCTGACGCCATGGCACTCTAGCCCGGGCAACAGAGCAAGACTCTGTCTCAAAAAAATTAAAAATAAAATAAAGACAGAAATGAAATAATGAGTATTCAGTAAGCTGTACTTTTAAGTAAAGTGGCAAAATCTTTGTGTAAGTCATGAGGAGACATGCTGAATAGTCTCTCTTATTCTTCTGCCAAAAAAATAAATAAATGAGCTAAAGATGTGAGAATGTTTGACTCTGGCAAGTAATGTTTCTAATGTTTGCATTCCCTATCTTTTCTTCTCTTTATCTGGCCTCTTCCCTTATACATGCTTCTATAGGTGCTGCAAATCTCTTCTCAACTTACCTGGCCAGGTGTCAACAGTATCTGTGCAGTATTCCTGACTCTTTGTGCCTGGAACTTCTAGAAAACATCTTCTCATTGCTTCTCATCACCTCTGCTGATCTTCATCCAGAGCCTCACCTGCCTGAGGACTATGCTGATGATGATGACATTGAGGGGAAGGGCCCCTTGGGTTTGAGGTCCCCATCAGAGAGCCCTCAGCACATAGCACAACCTGAACAGAAGTCAGAACGGGCTTCCCTAGGAGTCCCCAGAAACCTTCCTTATACAATGCCAAGCTGTCTGAAGGCAGAGCCAAAAGATAGTTACCCAGGGCCTCATGGGCACAGCTTTTTGGACCTAAAGCACTTTACTAGTGGTATCAGTGCATTCCTGGCTGATGAATTTGCAATAGGGGCCTTCCTCAGGCTTCTCCAAGAGCAACTGGATGAGATCAGCAGCCACAGCCCCCCTGAGAAGCCAAAGCTTCCAGAAGGCCAGAGCTGTTCAGGAAGCAGAGATGGACTGCAGAGCCGCCTGCACCGGTTTTCCAAGGTTCTCTCTGAGGCTCAGTGGAGATACAAGGTGGTAACAAGCAACCAGGGCTCAGGTGAGAGGAGGGAACAGAATTGGTGGGTCCAGAATGTAGGGAGGGAGAAAAAGCCCAGAGATGTGGAAGAGAGCTAGGAGTGCATGGGAGCCACACCATAACTCAGGGCACATCACCATAGCAACCAGTGTCAGAATACTCGGGTATTGCTCCACGTCTCAGAGCCCAGTGCAAACCTTCCCCTACCTGTTACCCTAAGAAGTGGGTCAAATCAAAGTTGGTCACTCTTCTGTATGTCCCATTGGGTTTGCTGTTACAGAAGAGCAACTTTCCCTAAGATACCGACCTTCTGCCACACGGCACTCCAGTCTCCGCCGGGGTCGTCGGACAAGAAGGAGCCGGGCAGGTAATCTGAAGAGCTCTCTCCCCATACCTTGCTGCCATGCACAAGGCAAGTGGTATATTGCCATTTGTCTAATAGTCTTTAAGATAGAGCACATGGTCAAAACAAACAAAGCATTGTAAGATTATCCTGGTCCAACTCCCCCAAGGTAACCCTTGTTAATTGTTTCTTATATATCCTTCCAGAAATTTTCCATGCAATGCAAACATATATAGCCTTTTATATATACACATTTCATACTATATATTGAGAACAAACTTTTTTCAGTTATCATTTTAAAGGCTGCTTAGTATTCCATTCTCGTATACACCCTGTTCATGGACATTTATTTCTAGTTTTTTACTATTATATTAATAAATAATGCTACAGTAAACAACCTTATACATGTCTGTGCATACTTGTGTGAGTAGGACAACCTCCTAGCAGTAGAATTGCTAGGTCACAGACGTGTGGATATAAAATGTAGACAGATGTTACCCAATTGCCTTAAAAAAGGTGGATCAATTTATATTTCTACCAGCTATACATGATTGCCTATTTGTACATACACTCATCAACAATGAGTAGTATCAAATTTTTAAAAATCTTCACCAATATAATTAATATAATAATGATGCATCATTGCTTTTACAGTAATTTTTTAAGTTTGAAATTAAATGTCTTTGTATATATTTATTGGCCATTTATATTTTTCTATAAACTGCCTAATCATGTCTATGGTCCATTTTTCTATTGGTTCTCTTTCTTATTGAATTGTAGAAAGCCCTTTAAGACATTAAGGAAAATATTTTGTCATTATGTGCTATAATTTTTTCCATATTTTGTCTTTTGACTCTGTGTATAGGTTTTTCTTAGAGGAGTTTAATGCAGGCACATAAAACAGGAGTATCAGATAATCAAATTCCATTATGGCTTTTGGTGCTGATCTTTTAAATAATTAACAAGAAATTCATGAGGGTTTCCTATGTGCTAAATAATACTAGGTATCTTGAGGGAGGTGGATGAGTCATAAACCAGGCTTTTGCCTTCAAAGAATTTATAATTTACCTGCATAGATAGCATACATGGAAAACTTAAACTGACCTGAGTCCCTGCCTGAAAACAGAAGAAATCTCTTAGAAGGGGACATCATCATGGCCTACAATACTCAGGGAAACAGACTGATTTCATGAATTAGTAGATTCTTGAACCAAGCTCAGAAGAATGAGTGGCAACAGAAAGGTGAGTGTACTGCATAAGGTAGAGGATGCCATGAGAGAAACCTAGAAACACTAAAAGGCTGAGTTGCTAAGGCCCTTAAACTAGTTAATTGGTTTGAGTCAAAAAGCAAAGTTTGCATCCACTTGACCCATCTAACCCAAGAGTGAGCAACCCAGCATCTCTTTCCTACAGTGGCATGTTCCTTCTAAAGGACAGCCCAAGCGGTGAACAAGGTTGGGGCTGATATGGCCCTCAAATGACCACGATAAGGAATATTGAGCCTCTGTTTGAAAGCCTCGGCACTTCAGGAAAACTGGTGTGGAGAAGCAGCTTTTCCTTCGTGGCTTTGAATATCGTGGTCTTTGGCTAGAAAGATCTTACAGTTTGGTTCTCCACCTTTTCAAATATGAGGACACCTTTTTCTATGTCAGAAAATATTCTAACCCTCCTTTGTGCCTTCCTACTTCCTGGTCTTAATAGTTGGGCTTTTATTTTTTTCAGAATCTTGCCAGTGCTCAGGTAGCAAGTGGTGGTCACTGACCCCTAGAAGCAACTTGAAAGCTCATGGGGCCCTGAGACCCACAGGTTGGGAACCACCGGTATAGGCTACTGCCCAAGTGAGCCTTGGAGCCATATTAAGCGCACCCTTTGCCTTTGGTGTGTAGGAGCTTATGTTTTGCTATACAAGGAGCAGCAGGTGTAGTAGTTACCCATTGTCCTCTCGCTCTACCCAGATCTTGGCTTTCAAGCTGACTTCACACTTCCTACACCGTATGGAGTTGGTTGATTTTCTTTCTTCTTCCTAATACCTCTAGATGGCCGGGACAGAGGTTGCAACCCATCTCTGGAAAGTACAAGTAGTGAGCTGAGCACAAGTACTTCAGGTATGCAGGTCCCAACCAGCTGCCGACTTCAAGCAGCTTTGCCCTGATATAGAGTTGCCACACACCATGGTGTAAAAACCAGGACTGAGCAGTTCATGCCTGTGTTCAAGAAGGTTTGTTCTACAGATGGCCAAACAGATTTCAGCTGGGAAAAGGGAAAGGGCTGTTTCACTTTCACTTGAGTTGTCCATCAACAGAGAAAAATATTTAATAGAAGTGAATACCCAAGGAATGTGCTTGGTACCCCTTCTTGTATTCCAAGATGATAGCATAATTTTGCCCTTCATTTGAGGAAAAATCAAGACCCACTTACAGACCTTTTAGAGAAGGAACTTGAAGAGAGAAGCGTTTTGGTGGAAGGTGGCAGCACTATAATATTTCCTCAATTTCTCTTGCTTCTTTGGCACTCTACACTCTTATGTCCCAACAGAGGGAAGTCTGAGCGCTGTATCTGGGCGGAATGAGCTGGACGGCCGGTTGCAGCCCCAACCTCAAAGTTCACTTATCCCCATGATGTTCTCCCCACCTGAGTCACTTCTGGCATCCTGCATCCTCCGAGGGAACTTTGCAGAAGCCCATCAGGTGAAGGGGACCTAGGTTATATTTTGTCATAGTAAAGAATGTTAAGTCAGCCCCTAGCTGGCTATGGGCTGCTAGGCCTCAGGTAAAGTTAGATGCATGTGCAACCAGACCCACCCAGGAGCACTTGGGGGTCCATATCGAGCAGGAGAAGCAAGAGGGAGTTTCCATGTGTCCAGGCCCATCATCAGCATTGCAAATTTAGAGACATTGAACTGTTTATGTTCTTAACATAAATGGTGTTTTAACAAGGTAAAAGAAGAGATTCAGCCATAATCTCACTACTTCACAACATCGAAATTTTTTTCTTTACTTGTGCTCCTTCTCTGAACACTTACATATTTTATCTAATTAAAAATAATCATGCAGACAATTGTCAATAATAAATAGAATGCCAGTTCAATATATAAGAAGTACAGGGAGCTAGCAAACTAGAATATTTGTGTTGTATAGGTAAGGTAGTACTAGAGTCATAATCAGAAAGACTCAACCTTTCTGAGCTTTAGTATCCTCATTTGAAAATTGAAGTTAAATATAATACTTGCTTTTTCTATCTCAAGGAAATATTAAAAGAATTATGTAAAAATTGAGAAATATAAGAGGCCTCTACTGTTGCTTAAACTTAATAGCATAAAATATTACTCTTCTAATTTTTAAAACTCTCTTGGTATATTTATGAGAGTTCCTTCACACGTAGGTCAGAATTTGTCTTTTGTGTGAGTTCAGTTGTTTGGAATAAATCTAAGAAAAATCCATGTAATAAGATAATCTTTGTTTAATTTCCTCTGATCATTTTAGATCTCATGTTTTAATAATACTGATAATTATGATCCTCAGGTGAGGCGAGGACTGTCCCCAGCCGTTTTTTTTTTTTGTTTTTTTTTTTGAGACAGAGTCTCACTCTGTTGCCCTGGCTAGAGTGAGTGCCATGGCTTTAGCCTAGCTCACAGCA